GATGTTAATAACCCTAATATTCTGGCTACCTCTCGAATAGATGGCCTGGCATTATCTCTAAGGGTATGGCAGGCACTTTTGACTTTAAAAGCTTTGTCTGATGTGAGTTGTACTCTCATTAACTTGGAATCTAGTACAAACCCAAGGAACACAAGTCTTTGAGTTGGTGTAAATATAGACTTCTCTGGGTGAATAGTGAAACCTAATTTATTGAATAGTTTAACGGTGTCAATAACATTTTGAACACATTGCTCATATGTGTCCGCTTGTAAGTATGAATCATCAATATRTGATACAGATAAATGACCCATTAAACGGAGAGCAGAGTATGCAGGTTTAAGGAGCTTTGTAAACTTTCTCGGGCACAGTGCCAAACCATTTGGAAAACATGTAAATTGGTACAGATTATTCCTCCACGAGAATTTCAGGTATTTCCGGTATTGATGGGCTATAGATACCGAATAATAGGCGTCTTTTAGGTCAATACTAGCCATAAAACAACCGGGTGTAACCATTTCGATRGCAGAAGCAATTGTGTCCATCTTGAAGTGATGGTATTCAACAAACTGGTTTAATGATTTTAAGTTTAAAATCATGCGRTAAGAACCGYCCTTCTTARGAYGGAGGAATATGGTTGMAATGAAATCGTTTTGTTCCCGAACGGTACGTTCAATTATTCCTTTCCCTTCTAGTACGAGAATTTCCGAGTCTATAAATTTTGCCTGCTCGTCGGACCATTTTGGTTGATATGGAGGATTAATCTGTATCGGTTCACCAATTAAATCGATTGTTTGACCTGTGACAGTGTCGAGAATTTCTCGGTCTGAGGTCAGCGTTTTCCAGTGATCCAGTTGATTTACAATATGGCCAGCCCTAAACGTATTGGCCTTAAACCTGCAATACTCCACATATTGAGGTAGTGCTGAATTAAAATTGCTTACCGTCAGAGTTGGAATGTTATCGTTCATTTCTTTGTTTGTTCGGCACGTTTCGTGCGATTGTAGGTGTGAGGAAAGTTCCTCGCTTTGTTGTTGTAATTGTAGTTCTGCCGACTTTGAGTCGGCGCTCG